CACAAATATAATATGAAAAATAAGGAGTTTAGGAGCAATTCTACTTTAGGTTGACTTAAAAGAAGTAAGAATAAAACAAAATTAGATTCTCATATATGCAAAGTTGTGCAAGAAATGAATTGATAGTAGCCACCTGTTTTTATTTAGCACTAAAAAGAGAATTCATGGAATGATGGAATTTTCAATTGGCAACACTCATTTGATTTAACATTAAGGTTAGAAAATGTACAAATTATTGACTTTAGTTGAAATTTGTCAGCTAGTGAAATTTATAACATGTTTTTTAGGAACCAAGACCTGGACAATCTTATCAAAGTGATTCCCCCAGAAAACAAAAGGTGAGCTTAAGATTGTTGAAGACTCCTGAGCAAGTCACAATTTGTACCCCAAAATAAGATTAATTACTTGACTAAGGACATTTTGAAAGAGACATGAAAAAAAAATGAGAACAAATTGATTTGTTGATGTATAATAATGCTGGATAGATTCTTCTTTTATTATTGCTTCCATTTATTTCATTATAATATTGTTTCAGATGATAATATTGAAGCTAATCCTATATAATTAGTACTTGAGAGATTCCTTTGACAGGAATAATAGCATAACTAGATTATAACTATGAATTTGTAGTTAATAAATTATAAGTTCATAAAACTGAATAAACAGAGAATATTGGCTTTCTACTCTCTCACAAATCCAAGGATTAATATTTAAATGACTTGTGAGAAAACTGGTTACATAACATTTTATACTTGATTATTTTTTTGTATGACATTGAATTTACTTCTGTTCTTGAGAAATTAAGACCCATCATGCACACAGCAAAAGTTAATAAAAGCATGGCAGAGAAACTCTAAGCTACTTCTCACAGAATTATTGTGAAGATATTGTGTTGGTGAAAAGCATTGAGCAGATGTAAGGGATTATTATGAACATAAAAGAAAGGAAGGTATTCAGGGGAAGGAGTGTAGAGTTTGGGGTCCAGTTGTTGTGGCTTCAATCTTTG